TCTCAGCCACAACGCCATACAGCATCTTCCAGCCGCAATTAATAGCTTGAGTTCTCTTCAGGTCAGTAGAGCTGACTTCTTTATATTTCTTTGAAATTGCGATTTATTCACTTGTTTGAGGCAGAAATTTATTTTGGTATTGTTTCTGCTTCCCAGAAATTGATCCTCAATGGGAATGAAATTATGGATAATTCCTTAAGCTGGGAAGAGCTAGCTTCTCTAAAGAGTCTTATGGTTATCTCACTGAACCAAAACCAGTAAGCCCCCCTTCATCAGCATATTACTCTCCAAGCTGAATGAGATTCACCAATATATTGCATCGTCTCTATTTAATTGAAGTAGAAAAGTATTCTTTTCTGCACCATTAAATGATGGCTACACCAAACATGTATATACATTTGAGTGTGAGGGACAATAATTGCAATGTCATAGTTCTCATTTATTGTTTTCATAAAATTAAAATATGAAAACTGAAGTATATCAATGAGTAATATAAGTTGTTGAATTTCTAGTATTCAAATGTTAAGTTGCATCATTGGAATGTTAGTCATTCCAAGTTTTCCTTTGACATACAGCTTGAAACTAAATTGTAAAATTCACTCACAGTTTTCTGTCTTATATACTTGTTTTCCTTGCACTTTTATGAGTATATATTTATTAAAAGTTACTTTCAGAATAGTCGAATACTTACGAAAACATAATTGAAAAATTGTCAATTGTCATGGTCTCTCAGATGTTTGAATAGGTTGGCTTTTACATATCAGTTTATAGTTTATGTGAACTAGTGATTGGGTATTGGCAATTTCTATGTTAACTCAATTTGTTCTCACAAAAATATTATAAAGCTTTTAATCGGTTCTTTTGTTACTCAGTTTTAACTTGTAAGTGCCAAATTGGTTATCAGACAACCCATTTGCTAAAGTATAAAAACCGTTCCAATGTATAAGATTCACATATAACTTAAGACAGTTGGACGATGGATATAAGCCCAAATACTGCTTTTGGCAGAGGGGAGAGACCAATTCTTCATGCTTGTAGTGTTTGGTGGATTGTAAATTGTACCAAGGCAAGTCTAATCATAAAACAACATTATTTATTGACTGACCCTCTCAAACATGCATGAAAACTGAAAATAAAGCTGTCTATCTTTCATTCACAAAATACATGGTATTAATTTTTTGGTCAGTGACATTCAGATGTCGTTTTGTGTTACAATTTTATTTTCTGATACATCTTACTCTGTTTACCAACCTCAATCATTTATCATATGCCATTATTTCGTATAAAGGTTTCTTGTATGATTGTATCAAGTAGTCTTCTTTGGTATGCAGCATAGCAACGCTGCCTCCTGAGGTCGGCACTTTGACCGGTCTGAGACAACTTCATATTGCACATAACGAGTTAACAGGTCTCCCATCTGAGATAGGTCTGCTGACCAGCCTTGAGGTTCTGAAAGTTAACAACAACAGGTAATTTGAAGTACTGAAACAAAAAAAGATATTTCAATGATATGGAATCAGCGTGAAATTGTATGTCCAAACGCTGATTCTATCTCACAATTCCATATCGTGATATGGTATCGCATGGCCAAACGCCTACTTAGTGTTTTACGTTATTGTTCCCTCTCCTCCTTTTCTGGAGGTCATGGATGTTTCGGAGTATGTTGATTTTCTTTTTATCTTTTATTTTTCTTTGAAGTGATAAGGACCTAAGTTAGGTTTGTAAGCTTAACCTTTTAATTGCAGGATACGCTCTATTCCGGAAAGTATAGGGGGTTGTGTTTCTCTTATTGAGGTAAAAAAGGGCATATTTTCCTCTACCCACTTGTCTTCTCTTCTATTTCATTAACTGGAATCATGAAATCCAAAATATAGGCTGAAACCTGCAATAAGTTCCAGTGTTTATTGTTTCTTGTGATGTTATTACCTATATACAGATAACGTGATTCTATATGGTGTAGGTTGATCTTTCATCTAATCTTTTGGTAGAGCTGCCAGAAACAATTAGCAAACTAAAGGACTTAAAGGTCTGTCTTCATCTATACATTATTCGTTTTCTCTTTTGAAGTCATTCTTCAAAATACCACTTCAGTTTACAGCTTTTTATATGCAATATAAAAAAAAAATCTTGTTTTTTTTTTATAAATGCCGTACAGAAAAGAACTTGCAAACGTTTTACGAGATTAGCTATATATGCTCAAGTACTGGTTGTTAGACATTGGTAAAGAATGTAACATAGTTTTCTAAGATAGAGCATAGCCTGGATGGACATTTATATATCAGCTCTAGAATATTCAGCTATGACATTTTAAACCAAACTAGAGGATTTACTGCCATAATCTGCTGGACCGACACCATTTGCTTGGATAAAAGCACAGCACATGATAGGTAAAATTTAATCATGGTTAAGTGAAAAACTTGGTTTTATCAATTGGCGCTAGTAAGTTTATACTGCACATTATAGGGGGATGTCACGAGTTTAAATGTTGCCACAGAAATATTCAAGTGGAGAAGGATAGATGGTAGCCCATTATCACATAGTGTCAAACTGTGTGCCAACCAACTCACAGGGATCTCTCAGTTATCAAAAGGGAAAAAATGTTGTTTTCTTTGCAAGGCACGACACAAATTTCTTAAGTCAACAATGTTTTCTGAAACATCTAGCATCATGTGATGGCCTCTTTTACCTGACAGTATGCTTTTGCCCCAATTATTTGTGTGGTTCATGTCCGATTACTGGTGCAGGCACTTTATCTTGGGAACAATGGGCTCAAATCCCTTCCTAGCAGCATTTTTAAACAGTGCTGTCAACTCTCTACACTAGATCTCCATGGAACTGAAATAACTATAGATGTTATCTGCCAGGTAGTAAATCATTTACTACTATAAAGTAATAACAGTAACATGCCCTATCTAGTTTGCCTCTTACGATTTTCAAACGATCACAGATTGAAGGATGGGAGAATTTTGATGAGAGAAGACGCTCGAAGCATCAGAAACAACTGGACTTCAGAGTGAGCAGCTCTGGCAAATTTGACGAAGGAGCTGATCAAAGCTGATAAGGCCTGATACAAATTACTCGGTAACTCGGTTTATATACATCCTGACATACATTTGCATAGTGATCCCTAGCAAACTTTACAGAAGAATATTGTAGTACCTGTTAAGATACATCAAGAAATTATAATGAGCATACTTGCTCCTCTGTGCACTCCCTAAAGATGATTAAATTTTCTGAAGGCTTACTATAAAGCTTTCTGCATCTTCTCAAATTGTTACATATATAGTTGAATGAAAATTCCCTTTTAAGGATACATATTACAAATTGCTGAACCCCTAAAGAATTGAATTATTTGACTTGCCAGTTGAAAGTTACATACTCCCTCCGTTAGAGATGGATCCAGAATTTATATTTTGCCGGTTCAACATTTAAAGTTTTTTATCCTTGAATCGTTGTATCTATTGTTTAATAAGTAATTTTTTTTAATGTTTTACTCATAAATTATACATCGCACCAAAAGTACTGGGTTCAGATGAAGTCAGTACCAAAGAGCTACATCAGTCCTCGTCTCCCGTCTCAATTTTTGTGGCACAATTGAAATTTCGAGAGTCATAATTAAGTTTTTCTTTTATTTGAATATTTTTATGTCTTTAAATTTTTGTATGTATTCAGTGCTCCGTCTGCAAGCCATTGGATCAGTTTGTCTTATTGAAAGGTCGGCTAAATGCCAATGAAACTTTGTACGCACTATTCTCTTCAGCACTTAAAAGAGAGATTTCTCATATTCAGATTATAATGCGGGGAATCGAATTCTTATCATAGCGAATGGATTTGCCCACATAGTGACTCATGACCTAGATCCAACATTCAACATCTCTCACATCACTCATGATAGATTAGATTCAAATCACTATCAGGTTAACAACACACATAATTCATACAAATAAATAGTTTGTGTGACGTGCGAGCATCATGATTTATATAAGAGCTTTACATTGGAATTCAATCACACGCGGAGAGAATTCACTAATATGATGATCTTTTTTTTTCCTCACAATACCTCAAACATTTAATAATTAAAATTTTAGTTGATTTCAAAGTTCTAAATATCAAGAAAATAGTAAATGACAATTTGTCTATTGTAGAGTATGAAGGGCAAAAAGTTCAACATTTCTAAGCACCTTAATATTATAAATATAATGTCATAAAATTATAAAAAAATTGATAAAAAAATAATCTATCAAGTTTGACTAAAAAAGTAGTTCGCAAAATAAAATACGAGTCAATGCTCCTAAAACAAATGAAATTGAAAATATAACATAAGTTCTAAATTCAAAACAAAACATTTAACATGATAATTTTATGTCAAATTTCAATATAACATACATAAATATGATTTAAAAGAAAAGGAAAACGTAAGTCCATAACCTTATTCAATGATGAATTCTACTTTAATTTAAAATTTTGAATATTGACAAAATTATACTACAAAAAATTACACGGAATCACATGAAATAAAGGTTGAGAATGAGAATGAAATGAAATATAAATATAATATAAAATTAAAAAATATATTTTTAGAAACCAGTAGAATAATAAAAATTAAAAAGAATTTAAAATAATAGAAGTAAAAAATAAACTAAAACGAAAAGAAAGAAAATTAAGAAGTGATTAGCACCATGTAATTAGCAGCAATTCATTACACCAAATTGCTCACTGACCAAGTAATTACATGACCAACCAAACATGTCAGGCAAGTAGTTACACCAAATCCACCAACCAAGATGGCTTGTTCCAAACAAGCCCTTAGAGATCAAGTTTCAAGATAATTAGGAAAAAACAATAGTTTAACTGTTTAAATGTGTCTAAGTTGGGAGGTGATATGCCTTCTTTTTAGAGGGACCTTATAGTTCGAATAGGAGGATTTCAGAAGAGGCTCGAATTTTTCCTAGGTATTACATTATGCCTTCTTTTAAAAAAATATACTAAGTTTTTGATACTAAAGCTAAAAAGGAAATTAATAGGAAATACAATCCAATCCAACTCCCCCCTTACATGCAAGAACTTACACAAGACCTTTTAAACCCCGCTTGCTCCATGGACTAACCTTCTGAGCCAAAAGTCAAAACTTGAAGGTTTGCTCATGGGGCAAATGAAGTCGAAAGTTCAAGACGCAAATCACCCACTGACATGATTAAGCCCAAAATGGTCAAAAACTCATCCAAGTTGATTCGAAATAGAAGCTATGCAAGAAAGATCTCAAAATCTTACTAGAAATGTTCCACAAATACATAATAAATCATCAAGGTAAACCACTCATGCAGATGCAGCAACCATTCTTTGTCGCCGCTCCAATCCAACCACAACAAGATACTATTACAAGAACTGCTCCGATACAAATATTATGATCCTGCAGCATATCAAATAAGTCAATTAGTTTTCCGCATGAAATTCAAACTTGGAGAGGAAGCAGAACATCAGATATGAGTCATCCAAAACGAATAATCTTAATAAATCATGGAGTCAAGTTCTGAGGATTCAAACCGACTCAAAACTACAGATATGTTATGAAGAAAAGCAGTAGCGTCTGTTAAGACCATATATATAATTCGTCAGAAACTTATGGAGCAAATTCCCAAAGCACATTCAAATTAAACTGGAAGGTGGTAGAAAAATCCTATTCGGGTAAGACAGATGGATATGGAACAAGCCATTTCAAGCAGCAATTTCCCAGGATTTTCAGCTTTGCAACAGTAGAAGTGTATTTGTCTCCACAAGGATAGAACATAACCTTTGGAAAGGTGTAGTGACTGTGAAAGGGAGGAATGAGCCAGGAAGCTGATAGACTATGTCGCAAAGTATTTAATAAGCTTATCTTCACTAGAAAAAGGTTAAGAGGTTTGAGAAATGAAGCAAAAACTAACACCCGTCACCAATTGCATAATTTTCTTAGTTCAGTTTCTGGTGCGACTGTGATGAGCTTGTTCTACCACCCACACAAACATATTTGACATCATTGTAAAAGAATCTCTTGTAATCTAACTACAGATCTAGCTTTTGGCAGGAAGCACATATCAATACTGCACATTTCTTTTTATATGATAAGAGCCATCAAATTTACCTCTTCTGTCATAAAGTTCCCAGCTTCTGTTGCTTGGATAATCTTTCCCAGTTCCATGACTTTCCTGACGTAATTTTCAAGAGAGTTAATGAGAGAGAGGAGGGGACAAAAGAAAGCACAAAGAGTATTTGGTTGTAATAAATTACACATGACCAACTATTTGTGCGTCATCTAGTAAATCATCTTGAAGAACTAGACAGTAGAAAATGGAGATTTAAAACTTTTAAACCTAGCACTTGTCTGTATTAATGTCACCTTGAATATTCATAAACATTAAATGTACTATATTATGTTGATGAAAGAGGGCAACTCATACTTCTGGTTAGACAATTAGACAGGACTGTCTGCTTTATGTCAAATCATTCCACCAAATTTTGAGTGTGATCAATACAATTATACTAGTCAAAGAGACAGCTGAAGGGGGGCAATGGCAAGAAAATACACTGAGAAGAATTCTTCCTCAAGGGTTGGCAGAACATATTCTAGAAAAGGTGGACCCACCTAAAGAGGAGGAGGAATTAGATAGACCATACTGGAAGCTGGAAGCTAGAGGAAAATTCACAGTTGTGTCTGCATTCCAGGCAACGAGACAAAGACGGGAGGTCAACAAAATATATAAGCTGATGCAGGAACTTACACCTACATGCAGGAACTTACATATAGGAAATGTAATCTAATCTATCACCGGGGAAAAAGTCAAAAATCGTTGAACTTGAAGTTTTTCCCATGGGACAAGTGAAGTCAAAAGTTCAAGACTAGTCACCTCCAAAGTCATCCTTGTAAATCACCCCCTGACACGTGAGCAAGTCTGGATTAAGCCCAAAATGGTCAAAAACTCAACCAAGTAAATTCAAAATAGAAGAAGCTATACAAGTAAGACCTCAAAATCTGACTGAAAATGTTCCGATTGATCCAAATCATAAGTTCTCCAACATCATAATTTCAACATATTGATGAAATAAATTTCTTCAAAAAATATTTTAGGTTTTCCACAAATACATATATAATCATGAAGGTAAACCACTCATGCAAATACAACAACCATTCGCTGTTGCCGCTCCAATGCAACCACAGCAAGATGCTTTACATTAACTGCTCCAATACAAATAAAAAAATATATGAGCCTGCAACATAACAAATAGGTCAATTAATTTTTTGGAGAATAGGGGCGGAGGGAGAGTATTAGCTATGGGTTCGGACAAACCCAGTCACCCTGTACTTGTGCCAGGAATTTCATTGAATATGTATGAATATTTAAGTGCGAAGCCAATAACTAAGACAAACTAGTGGGTTCGGTGACAAATTCAAAACCCATAAATTTCAAATCCTGGCTCCGCCTCTTGAGGAGAACATGTTCAAATCGAACCAACTGAACATTGGCGCATGAAACTCAAACTTGTAGAAGCAGCAGAACCAAATATGAGGGATCCCTCATCCAAGCAGTAAAAAGGAAAAATAATCTTGTCATTCTATAATCTTTATAAATCATGTTGTCAAGTTATGAGGATTCAGACCAACTCAAAACCAAGGATATGTTATGAAGAAAAGCCAGTAGTGTCTTACAGTACAATGTGGCACAAACAAACAGGTAAAGACCATATATAATTTGACAGAAACTTATGGAGCAAACTCCTAAAGCTCATTCAAATTAAACTAGGAAGTGGTAGAAAATTGCTATTCGGGTAAGACGAATGGATATGGAACAGGCCATTCAAGGAGCAATTTCCCAGGATTTTCAGCTTTGCAACAGTAGAAGTGTATCAGTCTCAACAAGGATAGAACATAACCTTTGGAAAGAAGGTGTAGTGACTGTGAAAGGGAGAAATGATCCAGGAAGCTGATAGACTATGTTGCAAAGTATTTAAGCTTATCTTCACTAAAATAGGCTAGAGGTCTGATAAATGAAGCAAAAACTAACACCTGTCACCAATTGCATCACTTTCGTACTTCAGTTTCTCATGCGACCATGATGAGCTTGTTCTACAACCCACACAAACAAATTTGACATCATTGTAAAGGAATGTCTTGCAAACTAATTACAGATCTAACTACTAGAATAGCTTTTGGCAGGAAACACATTTCAATACTGCACTTTTCTTTTATATGAGAAGAGCCATCAAATTTACCTCTTCTGTCATAAAGTTCCCAACTTCTGTTGCTTGGATAATCTTCCCAGTTCTATGACTTTCCTGACGTAATCTGGTTCAAGAGAGTTAATGAGAGAGAGTGTAGGAGAAAAAAGAAAGTACAAAGAGCATTTGGTTGAAATAAATTACATATGACCGACTTTTTGTGTCAGCATCTAGTAAATCACCTTGCAAAACTAGACAATAGAAAATGGAGAATTAAAACTTTTATCTCCAATTTTTAAGTGAAGCTCTGGTATGATGTCAAGGACGGAAGGATTCTCCCTTATAACGTTTATCAAAAACCCAGTTGTAGTTGCATCAAATGAGAAGCACCTTCCAGCTATTTCCTTCATGAAAGATGCCATTTCACTAATTTTGTTGCACCTGAGAAATCCTCGCACAAGAACATTGTAAGTGACATTGTTGGGAAAACAACCATTGTCTTCCATCTTCCTTGGAATATCTTTAGCTTCATCCAAAAACCCTTCAAGACTATTTTACTATGTCACCCTTTGAATATAATAAATACAATGACTTGAAAAATGTAATAGGGAAATGACTATGATTAATGGTAAGGGTAAATTAGGAACTAAAGAGTTGCTTGGTGTGATGGATAAGAGGATTTAATCCAGGGATAATTTTTAAGTGGTCATTAATCTGTTGTTTGGTTGCAAAGGGTGGGATAACTTATCCCAGGATTAACCATTAGTCCAGGGATAAGTTATCCCTCCATGGGGGTGGAATAATAATCCTAGGATAAATTAGGTAATCCAACCCAAACAAGCAAGGAATATTAGGAAAAAAAAATCTGAAAAATACTTATGATTTCCAATTTGGATAGAAATTCTATCCAAAGTTAAGTCTATTACAAGGAAATAAGGTTGAGAAATGGTCACCAAGCTGGATTTATCAATTATGGGGCAACAGATGGGTTGAATGGGCTGAGCTGAAATCCAATGGCAGAAATGGTGGCATTCTAATACTTTGGGAAAAAAGACAATGGACAGTCAGAGAAATTCATAGGGGCAGTTACACCATTTCATGTTTGACTGGTGTCTACGGAGCTCACAACAATCCAGAAAGAGAGCTATTGTGGTATGAACTTGCAGCAGTAAGAGATTTATGGAATGATTGGTGGGTAGTTGGAGACGACTTAAATGATTGCAGATACAAGAGTGAAAAAAACAACGGTAGTAGAAGATCCAGCGCAATGAACAACTTCAGTAAATACATACAATCTTAATCTGGGAATTATTGATTTACCTTTACTAAGGGGAAACTTCTCTTGGTTCAGGGGTGAAGACTCTCTGCAAGCCTCTAGAATAGACAGATTTCTAATCTCCCCGGAGTGGAACGATACTTTCGACTTAATGAAGTTACCAAAAACAAGTATTACATTCAATACTTATGCATTTTAATATTTGAATACTTTCCTGAAATTTCAATTATAAAAATAAAAATAGTGAAATAAGGTAATGAGAAGTTGTTTTGCTTTCTACAGCAAATATTAATCAATGTATTACGTTAATTGCCAAAACTGTGATTTGTTTAAAAAGAGGGGAGAGGTTGGGCTATGTTGGGTGAGTTGGGTTATAACCCATTGTTTGACCCAATAAAAATATAAGAAATGGTTTACCTTTTCAATAGGCCTGCCTGCAAAGCCCAAGCGAAGTTCTAATTGGCTTATCTGCTTCCGCAACTGCATTAGAAAGCATTTATTTTGCAGTGCTAAAGGAAATTGTATCACAATGATAATGTAGCCGAATTAATCAGGCGAAAGAAATATTCACTTCATAATTTTTGAGTGAAGCTCTAGTATCATGTCAAGGACGGACGGACTCTCCCTTAGAACGTTTACCAATAACCCAGTTGTAGTTGCATCAAATGAGAAACCCCTACCCGTCATTTCCTTCATAAAAGTTGTCATTTCAGTAATTTTGCTACACCTGAGAAATCCCCGCACAAGGACATTGTAAGTGAAGATATTTGGCATATAACCATTCTCCTCCATTTTTCTTAGCATATCATTAGCTTCATCTAACAACCCTTCAAGACATAATCCATGTATCATTATATTGTATGTTCTCGCATTCGGAAGCAATCCAATTAAAGAAAGCTTCTCAAAAATAGCACGAGCTTCATTGAGTTTACCATTATTGCCCAAGCCACCAATGACAACATTGTAAAAAATAATATCAGCATTTTCTCTCTTTCCTTCCAGCTTATTAAAGAGCGACAAAGCTTCTTCAACAAGTCCATACTTAAAATAACCATTGAGCACAATGCCATGAGTGTAAAAATCAGGTATGAACCCTGCAGATAGCATCTCAGCAAAGAATTGTTTTGCATGGCCTATTCTTCCAACTTTAAAAAGACCTTGCAAGATAGTATTGTAGGTAACGACATTAGGTTTTGATCCCTTTTGAGAAATTTCACAAAACAATTGCATAGCATCATTCACTTCCTTTTTCCTACAGTACCCATTTATTAGTATGTTATAGCTAATAATGTTAGGCTCAATGCCCTTATCAATCATGATATCGAAAATTCTCCTAGCTCTATCGACTTGACCACGCAAACAATATCCATCCATTATCGCATTGTATGTGATTATATCAGGCTCTACACCTTTTCTGACCATGTGTTTCATTACTTCCTCGGCATCTTCAACTTTTCCTTCTTTGCATAGTCCATCTATTAGTATATTGAAGATGCGCACATCTGGATACATAGTAAGGTTCACCATCTCCGAGAACAAAGTTTTAACCTTTTCCCACTGACCGAGCTTACACAAACCATTAATGAATGAATTATATGTGACCATGTTTGGAGGAATGTCTTTCTGCTTCATCTCGTTCAGAATGTTGATAGCAGCATCTAAGTTTCCATCTTTGCAAAGAGCATCTATAACAATGTTGTAGATGTATATGTCGGGCTCAGTGTTACCTTGTTCCATTAACCGGAGCAAACCTAATGTTTTTTGAGTATGACCCCTTTTGCTGAGCCCATTCATTACAGTTGCATACATGAAGTCATTGGGCTCACAGATATCCTCTCTCACCAATTTTTTGAACAATTCAACAGCATCTTTGACCTTATTTTCACTAAAGAGTCCCCTTATTAAAGTGGTAAAGGTGACAACATTAAACGGAATGCCATTCTTCAAGTAAATGGGTAACACAGAAAATGCACCATCAGCAGAGTAATGCATAAGGCAATAACTGTTAATCACACTAGTCAAGATGAAGCCATCAATTGGAATACCCAATTTCTGCATTTGTCGAAAAAGAAAAAGGACAGCAGAGTAATGTTTCATACTTATCATAGTCTTAAACAATTTAGAGAAATCGACAACTGAAGGAAGAGGCTTCATTGTAACCATTTGATGGAAGAGAGTAACAGCATCATCTAAATTGCTACTATTTACACCAATTTTATCCTTTACTGGAATAGATTTATTACTGTAATGGCACGAAGAACAAGTTCTCACAGTAATTGCTGAATCAGCAAAGAAAGAGACAAAGGGAATACCATTGCCATTGCCATTTCGCAGAGAAATTCTCCTCATCTTCTTCAATGGCTATATCTCTATGTGCCCTAATTTTATTTTATTTTGTAATAAGTTTTCATTTGGCATGATATAGGTGGGTGTGTGTGGCGAAGTGTATTAGAAAAATGGCCTAATATATACTACATCCGTTTACTTTTAATTGTAACTAGGTAAATTATTCATACTTTGCACACGATTGAACTCTTTTATTAAGCTTACATATGATTATTCAGTAATATCCGTATTTTCGATACATACTCTACATTGTCAACAACATTTTATCTTAAGGCAAAATATTCCTCCGAAATCTTAAAGTGTTATATTAATAACATAAGCATAAACTAATGACTGTAAAAAATATACCAGGATTTGTAACAATAGAATGAAGTAGAAAGGAAAAAATTGAGCCCACTGATTACACAGTGTCCCTTAAGAAAATAATTCTCCTCTAGTACCCGAGGTTTAAAGGAATAAATCCTCTCAGGATAGAACGATTCTACTTATCAGTGTATTGATACAAATACAATGGTGTAGTAAGTTGCTCAACAGGAGCAAAGTACACGAATATTTATTTGTGCAGAAGAAGAAGAGGAGGTTCAGAATTTTCGTTGTTTTAAAATGAGAGAAAATCTCTCAATTTATAGACAACAAAGGATAGTGTCAACAAATGTATATTGTGCTTTATCGGAAAGGTCACAACTCTTTAGAAAAGTTACAACCCTTTGGAAAGGTAACAACCTTTCATAAAAGTCACAACTTTTCATAAAAGTCGCAACTCTTCATAAAAGTCATAACTTTTCATAAAAGTTACAATTTTTCATTAAAGTCGCAACCCTTTATAAAAGTCACAACGTTTCATGAAAGGGGAAGGCTAGTTTTGAAAATAAATAAATTTGAAAAGGAATCCTAATTTGTGGTGGCGCCACGTAGACGGGCCTAGGGTTCTCTTATATATATATATACACTAGTTTTACGGCACACGTGTTGCACATGTGTATTGAATATATATAATATATGATGTTATAAAATAGAATTAATATTACTAAATTAAAGTTAATTAGTAAATAATTATAATTGAACAAACATAGTACAAGTGTTTTTAAAGTATTAATACATATTGTCATAGAATTACTTGTATTTTAAGATCAAAATGACCAGATATCATTAAAATATTTTAAAATGCATTCAAAGTTTAAATAGGAGAGAAAGTGACATTTCTTTAATAATATTATTTGTTACTTCACTCAATTTTATAAACAAATCTAACCAACGAAATAGGAAACAAAATATCCATTAAAAAAATGTCACCAATAGCCTTTTCTCTTGAGGTTATGAACATAAATGATGTACACCGTTTAAGTACAAATTTTATCTTAAATATTCATACTTGAAATTTAGTATGCGTATGACACTAATAAGGATTACCATAAGTATTTCAATATTTTTATCTTTATATGTAACATATCTTTTACTAAATATTATATATCACTCTATTAATATTTGAGTAAGACTATCATAGAGAGGTAATTTTACCAAAATGTGTACTTGATTGTTATCATGAATGATGGTTATATATACTTCAGTAGAATAATTTAATTTTAATATATGAATAACATCACCTATTGTGAAAAATATTTCATTTTATTAAGTTTCTACCTTATCTTTGTGGAATTGTAGTCTTCTCTTTTTTTCTGCCACATACATATCATATAGTTGTTGTTTAATGAAAGTATCTAGTATCTTATAGAAGTTGTATCATGATATAAAATATTTAAATTTTTCAATAATAAAAATTAATAGATTAATAAAATGTAAAGTATTATTTATAGAATCATTAATTTGATTTAAGATCATTTTATGATCAATCACTATTTTCTTATCTATTTTTATATAGCTAGTAAAGAGTGTGTCTTGTGACATAAAGAAAAATTATATGGAACAATACATAGAGACGAAAATATATGTTCATGCTATATTCACTCTTGTGTCCATTTGTTTTAAATCTCTTGCCACCAACACTTTACTTTCTCCGTTCATTTTTACGTACATATCTATTAAAAGTAATTATAATTATGGTTATGTTATCATATTATAAGTAAAAGTGAAAATCTATTTTTGAAATAGTGAGTTTAACACCAAAACTAATAATTCAATGGACTACGTTGATACCTATTGTTTTAGAGAAATTAGGAAGAAATTCCTTTGTTTGAGGGAAAAGAATAAAAAATAAAAACACAAAGAAGAAATATCTTACCCAAATCATATGCCTTTTTTCATATATGTTTAATATTATTGTCTCTTCCACAACTTTTCGTCACTGTGAACTCATGAAAATGGTAAGAAAAAATATGAGTGTGAATTGATGAATGATTTGCTACAATTTTTTCACCAACTTTTTCTTATGAGGTACCTCAAATTTCGTTGAATTTCGAACTTAGTCAGTTTTTGCAAATAACACTTGAGATTTTTTACGAAGAAAAAGAGTAGAGAACTTAAAGAAATTGTTGTTTAAAAGTGTGAGGAAACCCCTCTTTTTATAGCCACCAAATAGTAGTATGAATAGGTGTTAATTGTACCTTATCCGAAAAGTCACAACCTTTCGAAAAAGTCACTACTTATCGGGAAAGTCACAACCCTTTGAAAAAGGCACAACTCATTAGAAAAGGCACACCCCTTTGGAAAAGTTACAACCCTCCGAAAAAATCATAACCCTTCGTAAAAGTCACAACTCATTGAAAAAGTCAAAACCCATAAAAAAAATTCACAACCCTTTGAAAATGTCACAACTCATTGAAAAAGTCACAATCCTTTAATTTGAAAAGGTATCTACTTTCAATATAATAAAATTAATTAAAGTAATAAATAAAATAAATTGAGTATTTTTAATTGGGG